TGTAGTAGACAAATGAAGGGGTCAGCCTTAAGTAGGAGTGTGGGAAGTTAATCCAAGGGAAGGTGGCATATATGGCTACAAATGCAGGTAGGTAGGTAGGTAGGTAGGTGGGATCCCTTGGGACTTCTCTTCTGATTGTTTTGATTTTTTTTCCAGTGAAATGGGATGCAAGGTCATCAACAGGGAGTGGGATGGGATTAGAAGAAGTATTGGAGGCTGAAGGAGCATAGAAAGCATTAAATACTTGTGAGAGTGGAAGAGTGAGTTAAAACTTACAGCATTGAATAGTTATTGGGTAGGTTATCCTAATGTAAAAACATTCATCATCCTTTCCTCGTAGTTCCTCCTCTTTTTTTTTAAAGATTTTATTTATTTATTTGAGAACGAGAGAGTGAGAGACAGAGAGCACGAAAGGGAAGAGGGTCAGAGGGAGAAGCAGACTCCCCGCTGAGCAGGGGGCCCGATGTGGGACTCGATCCCGGGACTCCGGGACCATGACCTGAGCCCAAGGCAGTCGCCCAACCAACTGAGCCACCCAGGCGCCCCCTTGTAGTTCCTCCTTACCATGCTTTCCCTGTAGGGGCATTACAGTCCCATCCCACTGATGTTACGCTTGGCCAGATGACTTTCTTTGACCAGTGAAATATATTAGCGGAAGTGGCATGTACCACTTCAGAAGAGAAAAAAAAAGAAAGATTTAGGTGGTAAATGTTATGTTGTTGTTGTTTGTTTGTTTGTTTACCACAATTAAAAACTTTTAAAAGAAGTCAATTCTTCTTCACTCAAAGGTCATACAGAAACAGGCAGCAGACCCTGTGGGCTATAATTTGCCAACCTCTCGCCAATGGGTGGCCAGTCTGAGTGCAAAAAAGATGGTCCAAATCAATGCTTCTCAAATGTCCCCACTGAAAGACCTCTAACAGCACAAAAGGAGGAAAGCAGACTCCCACATGGGTCTGCCTACAAGTCTATAAAATTCTTTTAAGTACTCTTTCAAATGAAGTTCATGAACGTCTGAATCTTAGCCTATAACACATGTTGTTTTAATGTAACATTGGCATTCACTGTAAAAATCTGTAAAAACTGATGCTCATGCAAGCTCAAAGAAGGTGAGTGGACCTAGTCAAGTCACATAGCTAGAACAAGTCAGAGGTAAGGGACTGGATCCCCAAATTCCTGATTTGAAATGTATACTTTCCACCTGAGCGGGCTGTCTTCCCATCAGGCTTTGGCTCTCCATTCCCAGCCCCTCGCCATATTCCTCCATAACTGATGCAGTCTTCAAAGTAGTGATGGCAAACCACTTTTGAGTTTCTTCCAAAATTTATCGATTCATGTTTAATACCATCGATTCATAAGTTTTATATATGATTTGTTCTGCTATATTCTAGAATATTTTAGTTGATATTTTCTAAAACTCGTTTTTATCTCTTGCCCTAATTATGTTTCCTCATCCACATTTTATTTTTTTACTTTTCATAGCATCCCATTCTGTTATACATTGTGAAATGTTAAATTATGAAGGACCTGACAGATTTGCTATTTTTGTATATCCAGCATCCATTTTTTCTTGTGGTAGATTGTATTATTTGTTCAGAATTCTCCTTTCCCTCCCTGTCCTTCCCCCAGTCCCACTGACTTTGGACTTGGCCATATGACTTGCTTTCCCCAATGGATTGTGAATCAAAGTGAGGGGGTGAGAATTCTAAGCAGAGGTTTAAGAGGCGTCATGTGTCTCCACTCACCTCTCTTGAGCTCCTGCCTTTCTAGAGAACCGTATGTCTCGAGTCAAATCTATTCCTTCAGCCCAGGTCCCAGAATGAAAAGATATGTGAAACAGACCAAAACCCAGCCAACCCAGACCCATTTGTTGTAAGTCACTGGGTCTTGTGGTTGTTTGTCACATTGTAGTATCCCTGCAAAAGCTGACTAATACGTCCCTTCTCCTGGAACCAGGGCTTCTGTTTTCTTCTGGAGACCCAGCCCTTCTCCACTTTTTATCCATAGGGTTTGGTTAGGCTGGCCCTCCTCCCCTGGGCCCCAGGACCCTCCGACACATCACGCTACTAACTCCATCTCTGTTGAGATCTCAGCTCTTCTTATCAAAGCTGAGAGAGCCAAACACTCTCTTGGCCAGTGGAAATGAAAGAGCCTGGGCCTTGTTACTTGCTCAAAAGGGCTCCTAAAGAATTCTTACTCACAGCCCATGCAGTCTTAACTCCCATTCATTTTACAACAAAAGCATAGAAAGAAGAGTGTGGATCATACAATCCTAAATGCCACACCTCTTGGCTACTTTTTGATAGTGGGCAGGAAAGCATGGGGAAAAAAAATAGCAGTTGTTATGGCCTGAAAGTTTGTGTCTCCCAAAAATGAACACTGAAGCCCTAACCCCCAATGTGATGGTATTAGGAGGTGGGGGCTTTGGGAGTTCATTAGGTTTAGATGAAGTCATGAGGGTGAAGCTCCCATGTGGGATTAGTGTCCTTATGAGAAGAGACACCAGAGGGTTTGCTTCCTCCCTCTCTACCCACACGTGTGTGAAAAAAGGCCGTGTGGGAACACAGCAAGAGAGGGCCATGCTAGGAAGAGGGTTCTCGCCAAGCACCAAATGCGCAGGCACCTTGATCTTGGACTTCCCGTCCTCCAGGACTATGAGAAATAAAGGTCTGTTATTTAAGCTCTTCAGTCTACGGTGTTTGTTATAGCAGTCCAAGCTAAGACAGCAGTTTTCCCTTAGAATGCAAAGGACAGACGCTGGAGACACCTAAAAGTAAAAGTTATTCCCTGTGCCAGGAGGAAGAGCAGAGTCAGCTCTGAATTACTCATTCATGTGGAGAGCTGGGAGCAGTGGTGTGCACAATCTCAAACACCAGGAAAACTTAAGAGGCCTTCATTTGACCAGAGAAACCCTAGGGGGGGCCCATAAATGTTTCGGGAGTGCTTTAAACAGGGGCCTGTTTCCTCAAAACAATCCAACTGCCTGATGAAGACATGTACACCTTTTCTGTCATACATATTAGGATTCTACAAAGATTTATTGCAAAAAAATACAATGAAAATCACGAAAGCCACTGGTTTAAAATATACTTGTGTTTGGCTTTGGCATATACTTTTTAAAATAAAGCAACATGGTGTTCTCAATTGTGTGTGTGATTTTCTTTCCTCCCAGAGAAGGCTAATAAAGTCAGTTTACACTCTCCCGGTCCACAGATCACTGGATCACACGGGGACCCGGAGTGAGCTCTCCCGAGTGACAAGGGAAGCCAGCGAGGGATTACAAGGATAATTCCTAATGTGTAAAATTAGCTGTAGAAAATCAGGGGTTGATATACAGCTCTTTTCCCCATACCTTCTCCTTCTCTGCTCTCCTACGTTGCCCCCAGCTCTCATACCTCATGCTTTCCCACCCTTCTCAGGGATTTGGCAGGCCTCCTCCCACTTCTCCGTGAACTACCCATACCAGCCAGGAAGCAAATGCTGGGAAATGGACTGTCCTATGCCTCAGGTGCTCTGACAGGCACTTAGGGGTGGAGAGCTGGTACAAACTTGAGTCAAGTACAATGCCTACCCTTTAGAAACCCACAGTTTAGTAGACGTGAAAGATTCATGAGCAAATAATCTTTAGAAAAAAATTGCAAAAATAAAAAACAAAATGTTGGGGGGGGGGCCCGCAGTCCGTTAAGCATTTGCCTTCTGTTCAGGTCATGATCCGCGGGTCCTCGGATAGAGCCTCATGTCTGGGCTCTCTGCTGGGGGGAGGGGGGAAACTGCTTCTCTCTCTCTAGCTCTTCCTGCTGTGCTCTCTCACTCTGTGTCAAATAAATTAATAAAAAAATCTTAAAAAAAAAAACCCAAAACAACAAAATGGGGAATCTGACTTGATTGGTTTGGGTTGTGCATAGAGACCAGTAGTCTTCAAAACACTCCCCAGGTGATCCCAAACAGTAAACCCCGCCTGAGAACAGCCCCAGATCTACTGAATCAGATATTCTGGCAGGTGAGGCCCAGGCAACCAGTATTTTAACAAGCCCCCCTACGTGATGCTGGTGCACACTCAAGTTTGAGAACCATAGGTCAGCCTGGCTAGGGCGTGGAGGCACAGAAATGGAGGGTTCCGGAAGGTGAGCAGTTGGGGTTGGAGCAGAGGTGGGGGTGAGGGGCCCTTCCAAAGGCCCCCTCAGCCTCAGGGCAATTGAGTCCTCTGGGTGGGCCATCCCCGAAGGACGTCGCGCTGTGTAGTCCTGCCTTGCGACCACAGAGCCTCCTTCTGAAGCCTCAGTCACTCAGCCCCGGGGTGGCTGCTCATTTCCCGCTGGAGCTCCTTAGAAGGCAGGAAAGGTTGGGCCTGCGGTAGGCCATAGTGAATGGCCAGAAAGATCTCTTCCTGGCGAATCCTGGCTTCCAGTTTATGGCTCCTCATTCTTTTCCCCATAGTGGGCCCCCCTACTCTGAGCTCTGGCTTTTTTTTTTTTTAAATCCCAGACAGAAACCGTGCCTCCTTTTCTGCACATCCAGCATCTCATCCTAAGCAGTCACGTCCCCACCCACGATAAAAGCAGCCCTGTGCCTAGAGCCATCTAACGCTGCACCCCACTCTCCGTGCCCCACTGCCCCACAACTCAGCCATTCCAGCTAACAGAAAACAGCCAGTCTAGCGGCCTCCCCGCTTCGGGCCTTCCCGCCCAGGCCAACTGGGCAAGGCACGACCCCACTTCAGTGCCCCGCGCAGGGACTCTGCGGGCAGAGGAGGGATCCCCGGGTCCGCCGCCGCCCGGGGTCGCCACCCGCGCCCCGGGTTGGGGTGGGGGTGGGGGCTGCCGCTTCTCTGGGTTTCTGGCCGAGCAGCTCCCCCCCCCCGCCTTGGGGAGGGGCTGCGGCCGCCCGGAGTCGCAGAGGGTCCGGAGGCTCCTCCCCTGGGGTGGCCGAGCAGGAAGCGGGGCGCGCGGCGGGCGGGGGCGCGGCGCGGTGCGGGGCGAGCGCGCGGGGCGCGGGCGGCGGAGTATGCGCGGGCCTCGGCGGCCAGCCCCGGCGCACAGCCGCGGCCGGGGCGCGCGGCGCGGGGCGGAAAAGCCTGTTTACACAGACTGCACACCGCCTGGGGAATAATGCAGTAAAGGAAGTGAGCCGGCTCGGCCTGACTGCTCCAACTTCCTGCTCTCACACACACACCAGAGGAAAAAAAAAGAGGAGCGAGAGAAAGAAAAAAAAAGGGGGGAAAAATCAGGATCTCATTACAAGAGCAACAGACCGTCTGCAGACGCCTGTCAGCATGGAAAGTCGGGGGCTTTCGCCCGGTTCCTCCTAGAAATTCCCCCGAAGAAGGATCTTGAAAGCTCCCCCACATCTGGGTAGGTAGCAGGGTTTCTGCCTGTTGCTCGGACAGTTGCAAAGTTTCGTCGGGGTGCTTTTTCTTTCTTTTCTTTAGCTTGGTGGGGGTGGGGCTGGTGGGGGCCGCGGGGTGGGCTGCGGCCCTGGGGAGGGGGCGCCGCGGGGATGCTCCAGCGTCCGCGCCGCCGGCCCCGCCGGAGCTCCGCGCCGCGTCCGACCCTGCGCCGGCGGCACCCTGCCCTGGGGCTGCGCTGCAGCTCGGGGGGGGGGGCGGGGGGGGGGGGGGAGGGCACTGTGAGACTTAGGGTCCCTGGGAGGGACGGCGACGGGGCAGGCTGCGTGCCTGGATGCTGGACCACCGCCGACCTTCCAGCTGGGGCCGGGACTCCCCTGGGGTGGCAGTGGGCACCGATGCTCCGATTCGGGGAGAGGATGAGGGTGGAGGGGGAAGCCGAGGGCGTGGGGAGCGAAGACGCGGGGCTGGGGGCCGCGTCCCTTCTCGTTCGGCAGGTGACCCCCCCACCCCCACCCCCGCCCCCGCCCGGGTCATCGCCCCCAGGCGCACGCCCAGGTGGACCTTTAAAAGCCAGCGGAGTCCTTACTGGACACGATTTTGGCGAAGGACCGGGCGGGCAGCAGACGGTCTTGGAGCCCTCAGCCCTTTAGGAAGGGGCTCTTAAGCTTGCAACTGAGCGTTGGCCTGTAATGCTACTGTAACTTTTGGGAGGAGGAATTAAAATTTTGGAGAGTTAAAAAAGACAAATAAGAGATCTCGGTTTTGTTATATTTTTCTGAACCGAATCATCCTGAGGACAAGCTGCATTTAGGTGGCGGGTGGGGGTGGGAGTAAGAAATGTTATTTCAGAAACTGCAAAAGGGGCTTTTTAGAAAAAAAAAAAAAACGAGTGTCGGGAGAGTTTCTGGCTTGTCTGGAAACGGCAAGACTAATTGCCATGCGCTTCCGCTTTGAAACTGGCAGCAGACAGCATCTTGAAAATGACTCACTAGAGGAGCTCACAAAGAAACTGGTTTGCTCCTTCTCAGGTTTATGTATTTGTGCCTTTTACAGTTTCCTTTGTAGTGTTCGAGGGGTCCCCCGCCCCTTCCCCGCCGGCCCCCTCCTACCCTCCCGCTTTTGGAAGCCCCTGGCCGGTCTTTAACTACCCCCCAGCACCCCAGCCAGAAGGGGGCTGGGGGAGGCTGAGTTGTTGTTGGAGTTGGCTGGGGAGAGGGTTACAGGGATTCTGCTGCTGCTGGGGGAAAAAGTGCCCTGAATTTTCCACTGGCTGCTGCAGGAAGAGAGAGCCCCTTTAGTCACTGCTAAGTAATGTCTGCACACACACCAACTAATCTCATTAGGAGTTTCCGCTGCTCGGCACAGGAGGGGTTTTGTGCAACCACTGTCAGCCCCGGGGTGGGGGGGGGTGCGGTGGGGGTGGGGTGGGGGGGTGCGCTGCAAAGGGACACAAGTCACCGCTTTATTTACTTAGAGGTGCAGCTGCCCGACAACCTTTTTCAGGGCAGTATCTTGAAAACTTTAAAGTCACTTGGGCCATTTTGGATTTCGGACTTAACAGGTTTTTCTTTCCTGGTTGTGCATAGGGTGTGGGTGTGTGAGTGTGAAGTTTCTATTGCCCAAGCAGCTCAGACACCCCCATTCCCTCTCATCTGTGTTTGTGTCTTTGTTGGAGGGGGTCTGGGGGATGAGGGAGCCAGAGGAGGTGAGAAACTAAAGCGAGTTCCAGGCATCTATTAATGAGCTCAAATCGATTTCTGAGCCTTACTGCTTTATTGCCAAACAAAATACCCTCTGATCTCTCTCCCTTTTTCTCTGTCTGTGGCACACATTTATTTGGGATAGGTCAGTTATGAGTTTCATTTATGGGGATTATAAAATTACAAATTGTGTTAGGAGGGCATGTGGGTCAGACAGTGAAGAAGACTGTCCATAAGTGATTTTAGAGTTTCCAGTAATGATCCTGCCTACAAAAACCCTGATGGTCTTTCTGTGCCAAATATAGCAAAGGCCTTATGGCCTTACCCTCCCCCCCTTTTAAAACTTTTAAATGTTGGAAATGTGTAGAGTTGCTTAAAAGGGTAAAGAATTTTAAGGAACCTGATTGGAACTGTGGGGTTCCTTTATTGACAAGGACATGCTGCTGGAGGACATACTCCTTTTTTTTTTTTAAGATTTTATTTGTTTGAGAGAGAGAGTGAGCGAGCATGAGCAGGGCAGAGGGAGAAGCAGACTCCTCGCTGAGCAGGGAGCCTGATGCTGGGCTCGATCCCAGGACCTTGAGATCATGACCTGAGTCGAATGCAGACGCTTAACCGACTGAGCAACCCAGGCACCGCAAGGACATACTCCCGAGGGGTTTTGAGGTGTTGGTATTTCTCTTCTGGTGGCAAAGCATGTTCTAAAAACAGCCCACCCAGGGTGTGAGTCAGTGGACGTGAGTACAGGATGTCCCTAACACAGTGCTTGGCACAGAGTAGATGCTCAATAAATTGTTGCATTGAAAGCTGTGGGTAGGATCCAGCACTTGTAACAAATAGATAAGAAAAAAATTTTTCCAGATTGCAGGAGAGGCCCCTTTGAGTGAACTACAAACCAGTTTGGATGAACAGACTTTGGGGAGTAATTTTGTCCCCCAGGTCACATTTGGCAATATCTGGAGACATTTGGTTGTCATAACCAGAGGGGGTGCTCTTGGCATCTAGTCCGTAGAGAGTTAGGCATGCAGCTACACATCCAGCAAGGTACAGAACAGTCCCGCCCCCAATAAATTTCTAGCCCCAAATGTCAGTAGTGCCCACAGTGAGAAACTCTTATTTACATTAATGTGATGATGACTCTTTTACCTGTATCCATTCAATGAATAGGACATTTACAAATTGTCAGTTGCACTTTTCTGCCACATATGTAACACTGTGCATGAATTTTCTCTCCCTCGCTCTTTCTTCTTGGTCAGTAATATGCCATAGAATGACATTTAAATAATGAATTGTGATGGTTTACCTTTTTGAGCTGAAATAGACTATCTCTGAACCTCACTTACTTGGTACTAATGCTTTTCAGACTAGAATATCAATAGTCCAGATACGGGAGAGCAGCGATTTTTTTTTTCAACCCCATTTGAATTTTGAAGTTTCTTAAAACATTTATTAAAGATCTCTTCTTATTTAAAAAAATTAATAATTTAAAACCACTAATATACAGTAAATGTAACTCTGAGATCATATTTTGAAATTTATATTTGTAATAACTTTTTGGAACTTGAATCTTTTCCTGAAATCAGTTTTAAAGTCCTTCCAGTCAGTGCATATAAATTAAAATATTCCTTTCTTAGTTGTCAGATATTCGGTTTTGTGTGCTTTGTGCTACCCAATTATGTTTATACATCTATCTGATTCAAAACACCAATGTTACAAAACATTACCTATTGACAAACCCAAAACTAAAAAAAATTATCCAAGGATGTGACTTCCTTGGAGTAGAGTCCTTTTCTTTGGCGGGGGGGGGGGGGGGGGGGAGGCGCTGATGGTGAATTATTGCTTCTGAATTAATGGCTTTGCTCCTTTGCAGTCCTAGAGAATGATTCAGCCATCTCCCTGTCCCCCAGAACTGGGCTTCCTCATTAAACTTTAAAAGCAGTGGGTTCTCTGTTTTGACTGCACCCTGGGTGTAGGCAGCTGGCTTCTGCCTCCTCCTAAGGGCCTGCTCCCACCTACCCACCTACTTACACACACACACACACACACACACACACACACACACGGGCCATTTGAATGAAAGACGCCGCTGCTGTCAGATTTTTCTGTATGTTTCAGGCAAGAGCTTTTTATATCCTGGTTATCCATAGCTCCCTTTTATCTTTGTAGGTTGATTTATAACCTATTTGAGATTGCACTAGCATGACCATATTTTATAAAGGTTAGCTAGGTTTTTTTCTGTTTTGAAAAAATATTAATGTGAGTCATGTTAGGAAGATTCAGAAAACCACGAAGAAAAATATAAACATTTCCCATAATCCCACTGTCAACATTTTGGTGTGTATTTTTTCAGTCTTCTAGAATGTGTGTATGTGTGTGTGCACACATACACACACGCACACACATACATAAAACTTTTCATTGGAGTCACACTATACTTTGTTTTGTAACTTATTTTTACTTAACATACCATGTAACACATTTTCAAAACTAGTACCAAGACCAAAATTACTGCACATGGAGCATGAATTTATTGATCTAATAAATGTGTTGACTCAACAGTAGATTGACATAATTTTTTACATGGACTTGTTCAGTGTTTTTGTCTCTGTGGCTCCAAGTAATGTTCTAAGAATGCTGACCTCGTAGAAGACTGAATTCATATGTGCTGTGAAATTTGGGATTTTGATGAGTTTCTCTATGATTTAAGAATGAGTCATGATTTGCAGTAGAATATCAAGATGTAGTAACAGGAAGTCCAGGGCACTACACATCAAAATAGAATGTTAGATGATGAAAAAGAGAAGCTAGGTTAAACTGAAAATGTGTCTTGAACTTTAACTATAAGGTGGGAGGAAGGTGCCTCTTGTACATTGTGAAAATTCTTAGTTATTGCTGTTTCATTTTATATCCGAGAGTTTCCAAACTTTGAAACTGATGTTTTCGATGGCTTTTCAGCTCAAGATGACTATTGCCCATGTCCAGTTTGAATTAAGATCATCCAACTTTTTGGTTGAAATCGTGGCAGAGAGACTATGGTTTTGTGGCACAAAACTCTGGTTTTGCCACTTAAAGTGCAGCCCCAGTAAATGGAATTATTTGTGTGTGTGTGTGTGTGTGTGTGTGTGTGTGTGTGTGTGTGTAACCTTCTGTTACTGAATCCTAAAGGCCTTCAAAAATGGTAGATCATTCAGTCTTTTAAGTAATTGCAGAAATTTGACTCCTACCTATAACCAAAATAAAAACGGCCTTTCATCCATTACTGGAAACTTAACGTATGTGTCAGCAGTTTAAAAATAAACCTTGA